TCTACGTAGCACTCATAATTCTTATTCTCATGTATATATCTCATGTATGTCTCATGCACATATCTTTCTTTCTACATAGCACTTTAATTCTTATTGTTTGCACTGAAGCACCGCAGCAATTTCCTAATGTTGTAAACCTCAACATCTGGCAATAAACCCCATTCTGATTCTGATTCTGATCAGCCAGTCATAGATGATTTCACAGTCACCAGATGGCCATCCAACAGAGGAGCTTTGGGATGTTGCAGAATGAGAGAATTGCATCATGAATGTGAAATGTACTGATTCATGACTGCAGCTGTGCGATGGAATCATGTTAACATGGGCCAAAATATCTGAGGCAGTTCTGAAGGCAAAGGTAAAGCCAGGTAACAGCAAAATGTAACTAATAAAGTAACCAATAAATGCATTACCTTGAAAATGAGTGATAGACTTTCAGTTTCCAAGCTGCTGATCTCAGTAGAACAACTCGATCAGAAACCTGCACCAACCTAATGTACAGTCTGACTAATTATACAAGATTAAATCTGCTTCAGATTTTTTCATTTGCAGTGATTACTTCTATTATTTGGAAAATGTTAAATATAAATGCCAAAGAATGAAAAACTAAATAAATAACAACAACAAAAGAATCAGGTAATGGTGTCCGGTTCATTTATTCAGTAAACAAAACAACGTTCAAACTTCTTTCCTAAGCGTAGCTGGCACCAACCAGCCTCGGCCAACAGCTCAGCTAATGTTAGCATAAAAAACAAAACAGTGTGAAGACTTCTCATCTTCACTTTATGCTGAAACTGCACAGCATAAGCTAGCATTAGCAGAGCCACTGATGTTAGCTGTGTCTGGTGGTTAGCATCAGCCAATTCAACAGAGAAAAAAATTTGACAATTTGATGTAATTTGAACTACACAGGAGTGATAAATAACTAAAGTGATCCCCGTTTGTTTTTTCTCATCCTCCTCTTCCTCTAGCAGGGGTGATGGTCGGGAACTCTCTTCCTACAGAACAGAGATGAAGAGTAAATTTCTGTAACCTGGTACGAACAAACGCAGATGATCTGAAAAGGACTGAACTGACCTGGGTGCAGCTTTGATGATGTTGTCCACTCTTAGGATCATCTCGGCGGCCTCAGACGCGCTCAGCAACATCTGGCGCTTCACTTGGAACGACTCTGTGATGCAGAGATCTACCATGTTTCCCACCGTGCCATCAGACATGTCTGCGGGGAAACACAGACGCTGTTAGAATCTAACAGCTGCTTAACCACCAAATCACAAGAATAAAACAGGAGAAACAGGCATGCTAAGCTAGTCAGCAGTTTAAATTATTCACAATAAAATGTGATTTAAGCTAGGTAGTTAGCCTTCTTTGTAAGATGTTAGCTACCTTTTTATGGTGCAAGTGGTAGTTGTTTCTTTTTGTGGCTTTAGCTCAGTTGCTATCCTTTTATGATATTAGCTTTTTGTCTGTAACACCAGCGTTAGTTAACTTTTTTTGCAATTTAGCCAAACAGTCATTTTTATTTCACACAGCCTTAGTTAGCATTTTCACCTGTGACTTTAGCTACATAGTTAATCTTTCTAGATTAGGTGTCTCTGCAACATTATCCTGTGACTTTAGCTAAGCATTCGAGCAAGATAACAAGATATTGCACGTCTGTACAACAGTCTTTCGTCAGCTTTCTATGCGTAAGTGTACTTAGGTAGTTAACCATGTTTATGATACTAGCTGTCTATGACATTAACTTTAGTCTGACATTTTTAG